AATCCTGCTTCACTACACTTGAAGCAGGAAAGAGCTCAAACAAAACAAACCGTAAGGGCAATTGAATTTGAGCTGGGTTCATGCTTCATAGTGGCAGACTTCCAATTCTTCTACATTGTTGATCATCCTTTGAATTTCAGTGGAATTTTGTTCGTAGAAGGCCGTCTGTATGTCTGAAAGGCAACCTTCCATAACAGCTGGACTGTCAAATACAACAGGCCCTGGCCACTTGGCCCTGGAACGTGAACGGCTGCCTCTGCTACGAAGATAGCTCCAAATAAGTCCAGGTGAGTTCAGCCTCGGGTTCCAGACTTGGGTTTCAAATGTGTAGTACAGGTATGTTGTTGATGACTTCAGCCCTCAACCGCCCATGCATCGGAGGAAGAACACGAATCCATACTATTTGCTGCATCCCCTCTCCACGTTCTTAGGGGCCGCAAGAATTCGAACTGAACGTTCTTGTGACGTATAGCAAATTCGTCTGGGAAGTGTGCCATAAACAATTCGCAGTGCGCAGCAAAACTACTAAAATGGCGGGCTACTACGCCAGTTGCAGGTCCTCATCCGCCGCTGCCACCCGACTGCGAAGACGCTCACCTTTTCGGGCAATTTTCGGAAAAAGGGTCGCAGAATTTGGGGCTGAGGGTCTGTCAGCGCTTCAACGGCTTCATCTGCACAGAATAACCAAGCGGCTTCACGACTACATTTTTGGCAATCCGAAATGACAGAAAAATGCGGCATGAACCATGTCTGCGCCGTTTGAATGTCCTGATCATCCAGCAGGAAAGCAAAATCGCAGATTAAATGGTCTTCCCGTTGCTGACATGCCATTCATGCCCGAAACGCTTCGCCTGCAAAAGACTTCAACACAACAACCTACCGCCGCCGGAACAACCTCTTTCAAGGGTTATCTGATTTCTATCAACGGTGCGAGAACCCCAACTCCCTGAAGAGCTTGCAGCAGCCTGCAGACCCTGAAGAAATCAAACACTGCAAAGCTTAAGCACAAGCAACACCCCATGAAAAAAATGCCCCTAGCTCTACCAAGAGCGCTCGAAACTCGAAAGCAACCCTCAACCCTCAAAAGCCTGAGAAAAAAACCCAAACAAAAACCCTTCACAAAAAAGGGCCTCCTCTTGCTCGGCCCAAACGGAGCAGCTCCGGGCCGCCAGTGAGCGCTCGGGAAGCAATCCTTCGTGCCATGGCTTTTGGGGTTCGGGCGTAGTGCGGTTAAGGGTTCTAGGATTGCATATTATGGAGTCCAGTAAACCCTAAACCCTAAACCTAGAGCTTAGGGCTTCTTTCGATTTCAAGCGCAATGGGATTTGGGTTTTGGGGCTGCAGGGCTGCTTATAATGGGGTTTGCGGTTTCCAGGGTTCTGAGCTAGATCTAGGGTTGCAAATCGGGTCATAGGGTTTATAGGGCTTGAGGTTTCGCGTTCGGGTTTTCAGGCTTGAGGCTATGGAGCACCGGACCTGAGGGGTTTCAAGGCTATGGAGTTTGGGGGGTTTTCAGGTTTTGGGCACAAGGGTTCAGGTTTTCTGAACGACTTTTTGCGTATCGCCAAAGAATTTGGGGTTGAAGGTTTAGTTTAGGGCTTTGCACACAGGTTTCATACGGTTTTGCAGTCATTTGGGCTTGGACAATTTGGGGCAAGAAGACATGCCATGTAGCATCAGCCCACCATTTACACGATTCAGGGCGTGTATTCACTCCGGGAGGATTTGGAACTGGGGCGTCCTCGTCACGGGAGGTTGGAGGGCCTCATGTTTTGGCAGTTCTTCTTCCGCGCACAAACGCGCGGACTCGTTTTGACCCGTTGTCTACGATGGCGACCTTGTATACAAGCAAACAATGCGAGCGCATGACCCACCAACCTGGAAGCACATCAATCCGGACTGTAATCACTATTGGCTCGAAGCCTCAACAACTGCTACAATCCAAACATCCAGAAGGTCATGAAAACTCTTCAGCCCGAATTACAACATGGTGGCACTCCCAAGCCCTAAACTCAAACAGCCATAATAGCCATAAGCCCTAAACCCGAGACCCAGGTCCGTAAACGCCTTAAAGTTTACTTCGTCCACCCTGTCCTAGAGCTCGTCAATGCCGACGGTTCTGCCTCGGTCCGTGCTCAACAAAGTTTGCTTGTACTCGACACAGAACCATGCACAACTTGCACGGCAATACGCAAGCTCCTGAAGCTTCCGTGGAGTTTAAGATCAAGCGGTTTCGGGAACTGGTGTGATATGTACTTGGGATTCAGTTGCAAGCCTCGGGCATTGTAATATTTGCAGATCACGGTGCGAGGGTGAGAACACAGCGTGACATGGTCTTGGAGCTCAGAGAATAAATTTAGCTGAATCGCCACGGGTCGAACAAGGCTTCGGGGTTGAGTCCTTTGGTTGCCAACTACGCCGGTTTTTGGAGGACGGGTTGCGAAACGGGCGGTTTAACCGACGAAAATTCGACTGGTCGAAAGATCGGCCGTATCTGGAAGTAAATCCGCTCAACTCGACCATCGAGCTGTACTGGAAGCCCGAAGACCACCACATCCTTTAAGCAAGGATACCTATGCCCACCTGAAGCACTAACAATTCTACAAGCAATAGTTTGTGCTCCCACCTTCTGTACTATGCTCACACCTCAGACCCTGCAGACCCCGAAACCCAAAGTCTTGAAACCCTTTTAACCACAAAATCCCAAACCGGAAAGCTTGAACCCCGAAACCCTCAGCACTAGAAGGGTACATGAACTCCATAATCCTAGAGCTTTCAAAAATCAAACCTTCACTAAAATCCCGAAACCCTCAGCACTGAAAGGGTACATGAACTCTAGAATCCTAACACCTTCAACATGAAACCTTCACTAAACTCCCGAAACCTTCGCACCAAAAGCGCCGCTCAGGTGCGCAAGCGAAGCCGGGGCCGGTGAGACGGCCAAAGGCGAGCAACGCCACACAGGCACCCACTAACCTTCAAGGGCTGTGGGATTTATGGTTTAGGGTTTAGGGGTCTTGGGGTTTAAGGGCTTCGGGTTTATAGGGTTTAGTTTCAAGGCTGAGGGAATTCAGGGCCTCAGAATCCCGTGGGTAGATACGACCGGGTGTTTCGAGTTTAAACTGACCTTCAAAGCTGGGGAATTTACGGGCCTCATAACCCTACGGGTTGATACGCATGGAACTTGTCCTGATTTCCGGTGCTTCGGGTTTTCAAACTTCAAGGCGCTTGCTCGAGAAATGTGTGGTGGAGAGTTCTCTTGGAGGCTTGAGGGTTCCTCACGGCCCTGAGGATTTGAACTTGGTGCGGCGACATGCAGCTCACGGGCTCTTGGGCTTCGGGGTGCGCAAACCCGTCTTATGATTTTCAAAAGCTCTGGATTCGCGACGGGCGTGCACCGAAAGTTCCATTCAATGTCTCGAACATCATGGGCCATTCAAACATGTCGAAATAGCAAGCGACGCCCATCCCGTCCCGCACCAGGACACTCTGACCCGAGGCTCGAACACGGCAGGGAGGCGCGTTCGTCTTCTCCTCTGCGTCGTCGATGGCTCGTCCATCGCGGCACCAAGCTTCAACGTGTGAGTTGGATGTTGTTGCAGTTCAAAAGCATTTCTGACCGCAAACGGAGATTTCAGAAGTACTAGCCTAAAACTGAAAAGATTGACACTGTATTGTTAGCCGTTAGCCAGCGATCGGCCCTTCCTATTGAATTTCGATGTTGAAAGCTTTTGTATAAGCTTACAGCAGACGCATGCCACATGATGCAGCGACGATTTGGAAACTTGGCTTGAGGGCTTGGGTTATCGGGTTTTGCGTTAAATGTCAAGTCGGTAGCTCAATTTATCGATGCATGTTTTCGTTCAGCATGCTAAATCAAAACGCTGCGGAACAAAAGCTATGCAAAACGAAAGGTTCACAACAGCATGCGAGATGTGATGGAGAAACACTGCGTTGGACGGACAGGGACTGATTCCTGGAACGATTTTTGGGCGAAATATCATATGTCGCCCATATGACACAACAGCATCACCATGGAGAGTCTTTGTGCTGTGGCTTCCAACTTGAGTTCCTCACCGAATTCAATCTGGCGAAGACCCAATCTTGATAAACACTTGAACTTGTAGCCTTCGCATAAAGCGAATGTAGAACAACAAAAAAATGTTTAAATGCTCCTGCAACACAACTTGCACTCACGGAAAACCCAAAGCCCGGAACTTGGAACCTCAAGAATACCTGCTGAGTTTGGGCCGCCCCACACATCCACATGGCCGAAACTGGCCGCTCGATGCAGCGCCGTATCACCGAAAGCATCCTCGACTGAGCATCCGAACCACCGAATTCCATCTGCAGGCGTAAACAGTCAAGGGCTACAGGCTACGGCTAAATCCGGCCCTGCCTATTCTTTGGCCGCCCTGCCCCCCCCCCCCCCGCCCCTCGCATGCGCTCTCCACAACTCTCATGTGAGTCCTTCAACCGAGGTTTGGCAGCAACAAACCTGGGATGCTCCAAGAGTACCTGGCAGCAACTCTATCAGCTCAGTTTCGAAACCCGCCGATCATGACCCCTTAGCCAGGGCATGCAAAAAAGTATACGCTGAAGACCGGCCTCGCCAGTCAGAAGCAAATGCAGTGATGCCAACAACGAGCCCCCCCTCACCCCACATGATCAAACAATCGGGCAGTCAAAGCCCTTTTTCAAGGCGATACTTTGTCGCAACCTTCTGTGCAAAGCGATGGTCTCGATGTCAGCCAGGCTTTGATAAACGTCCTCGGATGGGAACGAAGCATTTCGTTCGAGTAGCAGTGTGCGTTCTGGGCAAATCATGCACACGCTGTGCCAACGCTTGGACCCGTGGATCACGTGCAGTAGCAACCATTTCCAAATCACACCTTGAATCCCTGCGAGCGCTGGAAAAAGGTATCGCCACGTCTCATGCCACAACCGCTTGTCTTGGTAAACCTTGGCAAAGCTTGCATCAGCTTGCATCAAGCAATCAATCAATACAGCCAAATAACTTCGTTTTTGTTTGCAGCCTCCAAGCCTTCGAACCTGTAGGCAGGTTGCGGCTGCACAAAGGGCTTGAAGCCACAAAGGCTGCACAGTGCTATGCGAGGAGCGCTCATCATGGCACTCAGCGTCACGATGTCAGGATGTAGAGCATTGCTCCTCGGACTCGGAAATAGCAACATCTAAACCCTGTCTGCTGCACGAGTATGCCCCTAAAATGTCGTCTCCGGCCGCTACCATCGTTCTAAGCTTCTCGGCTAACTGCGGCTGCCAAAGCCAAAGTTCAAGAAGCAGTTTACAGCGGCCTCAAACCCCGACACAGCCCATAATTAGTAGACAGGGAGCCTGCTTCTTAGAAGCCCCACCCCCCTCGTAGATGCCCACCCCCGCCCCCCAACCCCGAGCACGGATGCGCAAAGGGCAGACTCTGGCCGAGGCTCTCCAACTCCTGGAAGAGTTCCACGGCTATCTCGGCAGCGCCACCTCCACGATTGTGGAGCTTGGCCATGCATTCTCAAGGAAATTATCTAAGAGTGGAGATGTAGAGTAAGGCTGTGGTGAAACTTCAAGGTCGGAAATGAAAGAGCATTCGCAAAGTATCCTTTACATAACCTCGGAAGCAGTGCTGGATGTGTTCGTGCTTCGAACTGTTGAATGCACATTGCGGCAATATCGAGCATCAGGCCAATCCGTTTTTCAGTGTTCAGACAAGCCGAGCTAACCGCGGCCAATCCGAGCAGGTTAATTATTATAGCTCTGGATCGAGGGGGTAGCCATCACATGAAACCCTGTACAAACCTCGGCATCCCGGTCACATTTTTTGTCCCGGCCCCAAACTGAAGGACACTCCTCTGAAAATACCCGAGCCCCAAAAATTCAAACTTTCTGATCAAGGACCAAGACATACCCATAGGCCCGATAGTAATTCCTTCTTGGGATTACCTTATAGAATTCTGAATACAATATGAACCCCAAGAGGAACTACCATGGGGCTTATGGGTAAGGCCAACAAGTTTGAAGTTCTCCCCTCGGCTCAGTAAGACGAAGCACAGCATTCCGGTCACATGAGCCCGGGAAGCTGAGGGTCCAACTGCTGCAGGAGCGGATAACGGCGTTGTAGCTAATCTCGTCTGGAGCCTTCGTCGGTTTAGGGTTTATTTTTTTTTTAATAGGTTTAGGGATTCGTTGACTCTCCGTGAATCGGCAGCGGGGCAGTACCAGCCAGTGGGCTGGAAGACGAGATGAGTAGAGTATTTTGAGGAGAGGACCAGCACTACCCCGTAACTGGGCATGCTACAGGTGCAAACACTCCACGTCGCAGGTTGAAACAACCTTCGTGCACGTATATACAACTCCATAGTAGTGGTCAGAGCTAGATGAGCTAGCAGCGTGCTTTCATGATCTCCCTCATTGCGGAAAACTAGTTTGCTTCCTGCTTGACTGTCACTTGCCTTGACTTTTGCCGCTCGAGACACGCCTGGACTCAAACTGTCAGCCCCCACAGCTGGAGGCCTTCAAATTAACACTACTACTACTACTACTACTACTACTACTACTACTACTACTACTACTACTACTACTACTACTACCAATACTAACTAGCTACTAACACTCGCACTCAATCTAATGCGCATACTCAACATCAGCCTGCAGTCGAAGAGCTGAATCCCCTTAGTCAGACCACTGGGCCCGAACCCAAAACAGCCCTACTGTAGGAACCTGGTTAAGAAACCTTGGGCCTCTATTAGGGTTCCTTTGAAGGGGTCTATAAGGGCTACTATAAGGGATCTATAAGGGTACTATCATACTGTAGGAACCTGTTCAAGAAACCTTACACGCTTCGTAGGGTTCCTTCTATGAATCCTGATATATTGGGGGTTAAACGGGCCAGGGTCTCTTAATCAGGTTCCTACATTAAAGCCTGAAGTCCCAAAACCCTGAACTGAACCCAAAAGCCGTTAGGATTTCAACTGAACCGAAGGCCACGCGACCGGGCCAGTGCGCTTCATCTCGGTGAAAAGGGCCTCATCCACGGGACATCGGGGGCGAGAGCGCGTTAAGGTTCGGGGTTTATGGAGTGCTCTGACGGGAAGTGTTGGTGGGGGACTACATGACAAACAAAAAGCTCAAGCGGACTACATGTAGAAGTCTAGACTGAAATGCAGTCCACTAGTTACTTGTCTACCGGTGAGTGAGCTCTGGTCAAACCATGCAGAGATGAAGCTCGCACCCCTCGGAAGCTAGCCCTAACTGCAAAAAACAGCATAGCAATTGCCTACGAAGCCTTTTGCACAGGCTTGTATTCGTAGGCTAAACCCTAAACCCTAAGCCCTGAAACCAGGGAGTCTCTGGCTTGTAACCGTCAAGCGGCACAGGGTTCTTTGCACTTTGAGGGTCGGGATCAAGAAGCCACAGGCCGAATGGGTTGGGAGTTCTGCTCGGCAAAGGTTTGGGAAGAAGGAGAAATGAAACCCTTGGATAAGCAACGCATGTACTTGAAAGCTGGATCTCTAACCATCTTCAACTTCACTAAATTGGGTCCCCAAGCCTTCATCAACTCCAAACCCTTGCAACACGATCGTCGGCAGGAGAACTTCCTGTCGACCTGTTGGATAGAGACTCATGAAGGTTTGATGCCGACTATACCTCAAAAGGAAACAACATCACCAGATGGGCCAACCATCATAAAGCCTGAACTTCACGACCCCCCCAAACAGCCCACCATAAACCCTGAAAGCACTAAGTAATTTATCCCGCAAAGCCGTTCTGCAACGGTACTGCGGAGCACTTGAGAATGCTGCTCCCAAACCTACACCCAGGCAAGCGCTACTTTGCGGATAAGAGGCCAAGCAAATTGTCCAGCGCCCACTACGCTCGCAGGAGCTCAGAGCCGCATTGCATGCCTTCAAGTCAGGTGGCTCTGTCACGTGAAGGATATCGTCGGCTGCATGCTGAAGACGATGTATACAGCTGGCTGAACCAGAAACTTGGACTTGCAACCCTCGCGCCGAGTAGTGCTTGCATGACACGCTTGATTATGTATTGCAATGATCAAGCGCCGTGGCTTCAAGGGTTTCGTCCAGCCCTGCAAGAACTAGGCTTCTGAAGCAAAGTTCTCCAACGGCTTCAACGCTTCTCCGCATGCTGCTGGCCCATCGCCTAAATTCTGCCGGCAACCGTTATCAAAAGGACCTTGATTGCCCACGACAATACGATGCTGAAAACTTGTAGAACGTGGTTGCTATGGCCCAGAATGTGCAACAAACAGCGAGCCACAACCTCGTGTATACTCATTTACGCACGAAGCTTCAAGGCCTGGAGTTTCACTGTAAGAGTAAGAGCTCGCAAAATCATTTGGCGTTTGAACTTCAGACCTTAAAGTTCAAGAAGCCATGCAGACGATACAAAGCAATCCCCACTGCGAAACTCGCTGATCAAAAAGGCTGATGCCATCATTGAAAAGTGCTGTTCTGCAAGGTTTCGGATGTTGCACTTCTGCGGATCCCGTGGCAACATGTTCGACAATCATCGCACAGCGGACACTATACATCCATCTACCATGCCGATGACCGATGACCAGCATAGCGGGTAAATGCCCTGTGAACGCAGGGACAGTACACAGCCGCACAACCTATGCCACAAACTGGCTAACCTTATGACAGATGAGGCCTCCAGTCCAGGACTCACCCCGAAGGCCTGTGGCAAGCTTCGCAGCTTGCAGACTTTAGCCAGTTTGAGATTTCGGATGTAACTGCGTGCAGGAGCCTCTACGCACATAAAATGAATTTTTCTCAGCACAGAACCTAAAGGGGAAGCAAGGCCCAGGCTTGCGGGTATTTCGGGATGTCAGCTACATGTCTGGTTTGGATAGGCTGGTGTCTGCGAAGAATAACTTAGAGGCAGGTTCGTGCTGGGTTGAGTTAGGGAACAAGATCAGCCAGAAGGTCAGCGCTGAACCCTTGAGAAACCACACTGAATCGCACGCTCTTGCTAATGCAAATGTGTGGGATCGTGCGAAACCAGCCAAAAGAGTATAGCCTAGCTGTGTACCTGCCCTTAAGGACGACATGAACCCTAAAGGCTTTTTAAGGTTCATATACCATGTAGGGATTCATAGTATATGGGTATAGGGCCCCTACTTTTAAGGGTCATTTGGTCCCTCAGGGCGATACGTCTCTGCAAGCCCTTATCCAACGCCTTCTCAGCAGAGTCCACGAAGCGTAAAGCCCACTGCCATCGACCGGCTTTCTCAAAAGCACCTCATGGGAGATTCCAAGATATGGGTGCTGCTAGTTCACCCTGGGGTTTAGAAACCTTATGCCACTCCCCGGACCCTCATACCCTAGAATTGATCTCTTTGAGCCCACGGGGTAGCATCGCAAGATTTACTGCGGCGGCCATTCACAGCCGCTCGGGTGAGGTTTGCGGCTTGAGAGACCTCGGCTGCATAATAACTCCAGGATCGATTTCGGCAGGTCCATTTTGCACTGCAAAGCTTCTGAACGGTGAGCTGGTCTTCGTGTATACGCTTGGGTCTTGCAGTCTAGCTACTAGGCATTTGGGGCGGTCATCTTGGTTATTTCATGCCTCCACTGACGGCTGAGCTGCACCGAAATAGAAGCAGGGAATAATGCGTGTGCATCCCTGAAGCACCAGCTGCTTGAATGTGCTGGCCGGCACACTTAATAAATTAGTGTGCCCCTTACGTGTGGGAGTGTGCTCGCGTGATGCTTCTTCATTCGGTAAGCTGTTGCAAGCCGTATTGTTTCAGAAGTTTAAGTATCCCAAACTTTTCCTTAGGCAGAAGGCCCCTGCTTGCATGGGAAACAGCACGCACTTTTCGCCTGTCTTCGTGTTCTGCCAACATTGCCACGGTATCGGCGACTGAAAACCTCGCAGGGCAGAGTGAGGACACAATTGAGCTTGGAAAGCTGGCCGAGCGATTTGAGGACGGCAAGGCGATGTTCGAGTCGAGCATACCTGTAGCTGCACATGCGAGGTGATTGCGCCAACAGCTGCGCCGCCTTCGCTCCAGGAAAGAACTGCTGTAGCAGCCGGTGCTTCACTGCCAGATTCGTCTCGATGCTCAGTCCGAGGATTGGTGGGAACATTGAGATCATGTCGGACACTTGCGACTGGCTCAGGCCCAACCCTCGGATCCACTCGACTGTCGGCTTCAGATTTGCCTCAATGCTGTAGCCAAGAACTTGCGGTTGTGTCGCGATCACCTTGGCAACCTGTGCCTGGCTTAGGCCCAACCCCTGGAGCCATCCGACTGTGGGCTTCAGATTTGCCTCAATGCTCAAGCCAAGCACTGAGGGAAATGTCGCGATCACCTTGGCAACCTGTGCCTGGCTTAGACCCAACCCCTGGAGCCATCCGACTGTGGGCTTCAGATTTGCCTCAATGCTCAAGCCAAGCACTTGCGGTTTTGTCGCGATCACCTTGGCAACCTGTGCCTGGCTTAGGCCCAACCCCTGGAGCCATCCGACTGTGGGCTTCAGATTTGCCTCAATGCTGTAGCCAAGAACTTGCGGTTTGTCGCGATCACCTTGGCAACCTGTGCCTGGCTTAGGCCCAACCCCTGGAGCCATCCGACTGTGGGCTTCAGATTTGCCTCAATGCTGCCTGGCTTAGGCCCAACCCCTGGAGCCATCCGACTGTGGGCTTCAGATTTGCCTCAATGCTCAAGCCAAGCACTTGCGGTTTTGTCGCGATCACCTTGGCAACCTGTGCCTGGCTTAGGCCCAACCCCTGGAGCCATCCGACTGTGGGCTTCAGATTTGCCTCAATGCTGTAGCCAAGCACTTGCGGTTGTGTCGCGATCACCCTGGCAACCTGTGCCTGGCTTAGGCCCAACCCCTGGAGCCATCCGACTGTGGGCTTCAGATTTGCCTCAATGCTGTAGCCAAGAACTTGCGGTTGTGTCGCGATCACCCTGGCAACCTGTGCCTGGCTTAGGCCCAACCCCTGGAGCCATCCGACTGTGGGCTTCAGATTTGCCTCAATGCTCAAGCCAAGCACTTGCGGTTTTGTCGCGATCACCTTGGCAACCTGTGCCTGGCTTAGGCCCAACCCCTGGAGCCATCCGACTGTGGGCTTCAGATTTGCCTCAATGCTGTAGCCAAGCACTGAGGGAAATGTCCCGATCACCTTGGCAACCTGTGCCTGGCTTAGGCCCAACCCCTGGAGCCATCCGACTGTGGGCTTCAGATTTGCCTCAATGCTCAAGCCAAGCACTTGCGGTTTTGTCGCGATCACCTTGGCAACCTGTGACTGGCTTAGGCCCAACCCCTGGAGCCATCCGACTGTGGGCTTCAGATTTGCCTCAATGCTCAAGCCAAGCACTGAGGGAAATGTCGCGATCACCTTGGCAACCTGTGCCTGGCTTAGACCCAACCCCTGGAGCCATCCGACTGTGGGCTTCAGATTTGCCTCAATGCTGTAGCCAAGCACTGAGGGAAATGTCCCGATCACCTTGGCAACCTGTGCCTGGCTTAGGCCCAACCCCTGGAGCCATCCGACTGTGGGCTTCAGATTTGCCTCAATGCTGTAGCCAAGCACTTGCGGTTTTGTCGCGATCACCTTGGCAACCTGTGCCTGGCTTAGGCCCAACCCCTGGAGCCATCCGACTGTGGGCTTCAGATTTTCCTCAATGCTGTAGCCAAGCACGCGGGGAGACCTGGCAACCATGTGGCCGACCTGCGACGCAGTCAGGTGTGCCCTGTTCTGAAGAAACTCGTGTAACTGGGATCTTCTGCTGCCGGAGGTGCCAACAACGTCAGCCTTCTTCGCAAAGATGCTTGCATCTTCATCAATTTCTGCTTGCGATGCAAAGGCTGCCAGGCGACAAGCTAGTGCAGGAAGCAGACTTTCACGAGCATGATGCAACAAAGAAGACGCGACCTGGATCAATGCCCTCAGGAGGGAGGGTGCATGCTCGTTACACCAGCAGTCGACCAGTACTTGTACGGACTTATCCCTCTTACTGTTCAAGTGTCGCCTCTTGTGTGCGATGCGGAGGACCACAGATCCAGGAGGAGCAAAGCGAAGCAAAGCACGGGTTTTCCGCTCATCTCTGGCCATGCCAGGTGGCTCGCCGTGACGATAATAGCCATCGTACTCAATGAACAGCGCAGCATCGGTTGCTTTCAGCACACCATGTGCTGCCAAATCCGGCGACAATCTACTTGAACCCCAATTCTTACATGTCTCCACCGGGAAGTCACGAAAGGCCTCGCAGATGCGCTCGTCCGGCATCAGCAGCCTTGCCAGCTGGGAGAGGAGCTCCGCCTCCGCCCTGCTCCCCAAAATCTTGCGAGGTCGGCCCTTCCGCCACCAGAGCGGCGGAAGAGAGCCCGGTGGCAAAGCTGCTCCCAGAAGGATGCACAAAAAAGCAAAGAAGAAGCCACGAGGCTGACGACTCCTCTTTGGAGTCATCATCTGTCTGCCGGGAATGGCAGCATACGATTTGCCTACTTGTCCTACTTGGGAGCTGCAGCCAAAGGCACAGTAGTGTCATGACTAATACAAACTTGCAATGCAATTTGTGTGATGTGCCGTGCGAGCATGGCCTGTACAATGGCAAAGCAAGCGGTATGTGAACCTCTAAACATGCACCGCCACGGCCGGACGCAAGAGAGGCCGGGTAACGAAAGTCGAACTGTTTAACTATACCCCATCAACCGACACGGCATGTAGAAAATCCTGCACTCAAAAAACTGCAAGAAACCAAGAACTCACCACGGCTGGATACATCAGTCCTAATCTTCAGACTTGAGCCCTCACCCCCGGAAGCTTCAGGAGGCAGATCATGCGAAAAACTCATGCGAGATACTTCGATCTGACGTCTTAACCCCAATAATGACTCTGGAACATCTACTTAAAAACTGCCCTCGGTTTTTTTTATCATCCCTGGGGAGCCCAACAATGACTCTGGAAGAAACAAGTCCGACGTGCTATGCGCCCTACAAATTCAAGAGCCGAAATGATCAGCTGAATGCATCGGCGAGATGCTTATGGCAGAGCTCATGGTCACGGCATTCGGCGAGAGGCCCGCGCTGGGCATCACCGAGGCACAGACGCCTCATTCCGAGAGGCTTCTAAAGCTCATCCCAAATGATATGGGAGTTTTCGAAATTTGGGGGTACCTTACTATGGGGTCCTTATAATAGGGATCCTACCATTTAGGGTAGTATATTGGGATCCCCTATTTTCGGAAACTCCCATATGGGTGTTCAGCTACAGCGGTCAGAATATCAAAGCCGCTTAACGGCTTGAGCTCATGGGGCGGACAAAACCATGTAGAGTTCTTTTTTTTAAATGCAATGCCCTTTTCCTTGCGTCCAAGGGTCGGCCTCGGAACGAGGCTTGCACAGGTGTCCCATCAGAGATGAGAACACGACCAAAACATTAGCGACTCAACATAGCAGAGATCCTATATTCAGATCTCGACCATGTAGAGTTCAGGGCCACGGGACTGTGAAAGTCAGGCGGGGGTTGAATAAGTTGAAGGTGCATGAATGTTGGAACTCGAAGTGCATGGACCGAAGGTTTGCTTCTAAGTTCAGCAATCGCTAGACTATACCTCGGAATCACGGCAAGGTTGCTTCCTCTATGGCAGGAGGATCCAGAAAAAAAACTATGCCCTCTGATGAAGGCCGAAACCATGCAGTCCACATCATGCGACATCACAACACTGGGTCCCAACGCCACGATTCGTTCCAAGTCGCTTCGGGTTTGGCTTTCAAGATTGTAGGTCCATCCGGGCAAATGTCTCCACCGCAGGATTTATGTGTTTGAGGTGTATAGGGCTCAGAGCGGCTACAGTAACCTCCACCTGCTCAACAAACAAGTGCTCCCTATCCACTTTGTAGTTGCGCTCGCCTAGCGAAGATGAGAAGCCGGGGGACCCACACGGGGGTTTCCGAAAATAGGGGGCCCTAGAGTGGTACCCTAAATAGCAGGATCCTTCTTATAAGGACCCCGACATAATGTACCCCAAATTTTCGGAAACTTCCAAACAACCCCAAGCTGATGCCACAGGGATGCCAAGTGCCCATTCCCAGCTTCCTGCACGTTGCGAGATGGTCGCACTGCAGGCGATGACGTCCTCCCGAAACAGGATTTCGGATCTATTCCATTTCGTTTCGGGCTGGGGGACATGGAGAGAAGAGGATACATCCTGCATTAAGTTAATGGCCCTAGAGTATGGGAATTACGGTGTATTCCTCATTATGGGTCATGCAGGATTTATGCATCATACCATCAGCTGTAGGACTGGTCTTGTAGGATGATATCAGATGAAGCTGACAAGTGCTCCGCGGCATAAGGGAACTTCATGCTCCAGGAATGTCTTCAACTCGTATAGTACATCAAGGGTGCCCGAGTATGCTCTCTAACCACGTACTACCGTATTATTGCACGATAATAACCTTTATCATGTTTTGTGAATAGAATACTCGTCTTACTTTGTTATTCAACAGTCGTTGAGGATCCGACAGGGTTGGGCTGCGGGCAGGCTAGCGTCAATCGTTTGGTGCACCCGTCCAGCTGCACCGTGGCTTGGCGCATCTCAGACCTGCCAAGCATCTAAGGCCGACTGTACGGAAGGTCTGGGCTCGTGTGGTGACTCGTGCACTGAATTAGGCAACGCTGCGTCAACCTCTAGGCTTGAAGCCCCTCAGCCCTGAAACCCTGCCCCCCAAAACCCTGAAACTCTAAAGCCCCCTACAGCTAGCCCACTCTCAAAGCCTGTACCCAAAACCCTAAGCCCCAACGTCCTGGAAGTCCCGACACAGGGGCTTCGGATGCAGCCCAATGAATGTAGTCTGAGGAGCAAGAGAAGCCGCACTGCGTCGTCCTGCTCGTGCTGGGCACAGGACCGGAGGCAGCAGCTGAAGCTTATCCTGGGATTCTGACTGAAGGCCTGGGTCATAGGGCTCGGATTGAAATGCAATTGGATAATGTAAGAACCTGGTTAGGAAACTCTGCGCCTATAATCCCAAAATAGTAGGATTCAAACAAGCAACCCTAGTCAAGGCCCAAGGTTTCTTCATCAGGTTCCTACATCTATACCCCCTTAGAACCATATCAAAAACAATATGTTGTGTATTCTCTTGGGTTTTGTATGAACTCCTAAGGAAACTATAAGACATTGGGATCATTAGGGTTGTGGGTTCTGAGGAATCAGATGAGGCTTTCGGATCCAGGTTCAGGACCCCTTGCCGGCCTGTGAGCTCTAGCTGAAAGGAAACGCATACAGGATGTATAGATCTGGATCAACATAATAATATAGGGGCCTTAATAATTAGAATAGGGTTTTGGGGGGTACTATACTATAAATAGAATAAGGAGCCCCCAAAACCCCATTCTAATTATTAAGGCCCCTGCATTACAGGCTGTATAGATCTGGGTGGTTGTCAAAATTAGGGTCCCTTTGGGGGTCCTTATTATAATACGGCACCTAATATTTCGGGTACCCAAAACGGGACCATATTTTTGACAACCACCCATCTGGATCAACATACTCGGCAGGTCCTCTCAACGCTCAACACCCTGGAACATGAAAGATACTGCAACAGTCGGTAGGGCAAGGCAAGCGCTTCAACCTGGACCTGCTGTACGTCAAGCTTTCAGGGTCCAAAGGGTTCCTTTAAGAGTTCCTTTTATGGAACCATACAATTCACAGTGCACGTCGAAAGTCGCGTCCGGAGCAGGGCCATGGCTGTTCATCTCCTGGCGGCTTCAGGCACATTACGGGTCCATGTACCCCGATAGACATACATAGGGACTACTTTAAGGCCAAATGTCCTTCATTTGTGCATACATGGACCCTCAACTACGCGCCGTTGAGGCCCCCAGATGCCGGCATGATATGTCAATGTTCATATTCACGGCGGGAGCGGAACCAGATTGAGAAGGTGGACCTATCGTGCGGGACATCAAGGGTTGCTGATACAGACAAAGCACCTCTTCCCGAAACCCCGAATCCTGAGTAATGTAACGAAGGAGAAACTCGCAACTGCATTGAGTGAACAACTGAGTCTGCAAGAATGGCAGAACAGTTTGACGCTCCTATCCCCTCCAGTTTGTTTATGTTTACATCAGAAGATGGCCTGAACCGGTTGATTTCATTCCATAGCCAATGTCATGCTGCCACCATTGGGCCGGAGGCTTGCATGGGTTGGGCGTTTAGGTTGGATGGGCTCTTGACTCAAGTGAGTTCGAGCAGAAAGCCTGTGCCTATACCTACAGAACGAAGCCGTTCGTCAATAAGCCCGCTGCCGCCTGCCATGGAATTTCGCACAACACCGCCAAAACCCTGAACCCTAAACACTGGTTGGGGTCAGAAGTATATGGGGATGGCCCTGGCAAGCGCAGCTCCTCCAAGAGGGCCACGCACTGCTCCCATGATGCCTGCCAGGGGCCGAAAAAGCCTAAATAGGCTTGTGAATCTGCAATTGGGTCCGGCTGCAGTGTGACAGTCATTGAAGACTGGGATCACGCTTGTGTCCGGCGGGTGGATGTGCAAAAGAAAACGTCCCTGTGATGCCTGCTGAAGTGCCTTCCGACAAAGGGGTATGCCTGGCCCCACGACAGCAGTATCGGCTCCCCTTTTTTGGTCAGTTCTGGGACATTCTTTACCGACTTCAATTAATGTCATCTGTATTGGTACCTTGTTCGTGGATGCAGGCAACATGAGCGGTCACATGCTTGCTGAACTTCACCGGCTACGAAGCCCGCTCGTTGCGGAAGCTCTGCTAAAGCAAGCTTACGGCCCACTATCGTTTGCATGGTCTGGTGCAGTGCACTACTGGACTAAGCTCCTTTGACAAGAAGGGCCATAATTCGTGTGCTTATTTGTCGGGTGTCATGGGGAACTAAAGGTTCACTTTTTTGGTTATATAGGGATTATATAGGGACTATACTAACTACCTAAAAAAGGTTAAAGGTTACCTACTCTACTACCGGGTGTATGAACCGGCCTTGAATTTCTCGCATCGAAGAAGAGTCTCTGAGGCTGCAGACGGCTTCTGCTGTAAACGACAAGTCTTGCATGTGCCAGGGTATTGGGGTTCCAGCACTCACTCTCGGACTTGCCTAGGCGAGGACTCCGGTATTAGGGTTTAGGGTTTAGGGGTCATACATGCCCTCTTCCACATATGTGAACATAAAGCTTAATGTTTTGTTGGTGGGCAACGTTGAAGTTGACATGGATACCATGAACTGCCACAAACCAGAAGCATGGGGCGGCCTCGCAGCAGGCCAGCACAGCATTGCAGGACGAGGTGGTTGGCTGGAGCGACTGGTCCTCTTCTTGTAAACTATGTGATAGAACCTGCCCCCACCCTGTAATAGTGACTATATAAGGATTATATTAGGGCCCTATTATATTCCTATTATACCGCTATTACAGGGTGGGGGCAGCTTCTATGGTATTT